CCTAAAAAAAGGCATCGAAGTGCATTAAAGTGGACCTCATCACCACCAAAATTTTATAATGTGTTTACACGTAAAGGCTTCTTGCAACTGTGTGGGTGGTGGAGTGGTGACTTCATCCAGTCAAAATCACTAAGTCAGACCCTGTGGCTCACCTCAAAACAGCCCGACTGAACAAGAACCATGCGATCCTCTGGCTGGAGGTCGGAGAAGCCGGGAATACGTTTGGCAAATTTCACCGAATCCTGCATTATTCGATCGAAGCACGTCTGAAAGGCCCGAAAGGATTTGCGTCGCACCTCAAAGGCCTGTGCAGTGTGAGGTCTTCCATCCTGCATTTTTCCAAGAAGGCAAAACCTTAACTAGGATTTCAATCCCTTGGGAAAATCGCTGATAAGTCGAGAGAAGCAAAGAGTACACCAACAATGGGGAGTGGTTCTTAAATATAAGGGAGGGAAGTCTTTATGAAAGTTATGCAAACAGAGGAGGAGAATCTCTCCGACGTAAACTAGGGCGAGACTTTTGCCTTCTTCTCCTTCCATTCCCCTTTCTACTACCGAGGCCAAAAAACGTCCCAAAGACTCGTGAAAGTCCTTCCAGGGATGGTGAAGATGCGAGCTCCTTCAGCATGCATTATTTTACTTTTCTTTTACCTTGCAAAGACGACGGCGAGATCAAACTTTGAAACGAGTAGGTGTTAAAAAGCACTATAACTAAATGCATTTGGCTAAAACTGACTTCTTTATAAGGCGGAGGTGGTTCAAAGGGAGGCATTGCGATGCCCTCCAACGTGTTACTGCTGTCATGCTACCACATCGTATGGAATGTGAAATACTCTGATCAAAAGAAAGCAATTTTTTTGGTCTCCAACCTCTTTTGGCTAAAAGGCAGCCTCTTCTTTAACAATCTAACCGGACATTTAGAGAAAATTAAGCATGATTTTACAACTGACAATGTTGATTGCTGTTTTGGAGACGTCAAGGCTCGCCCAGTTGGTGGAGTGCCAGAAATTCTCACCTTCACACTGGAAAAAAAGTTTGCGGTGTCAAAAGAATGCCACTGGGGCATAGCAAAACGTGTGTCCCCTTCATTTACAACCCTCCATTCAAATGTCTAATTATAAAATTAATAAATGCCTCAAGAACTCGTTGAAATCATTACAAGTTAACAACTTTTTTGTGATACTAAAGCCAAAGTTTGCTGAAATGCAGACTAGAAGTGTTGGCTTCTACGAGATCGAAGATGAGGAGATGGTCATTTCAATGTCATCGATTTCACTAACCTCCCATTTGACAACACCGAAGAGGTGTTGCAGAGTGGCCTCATTGGCAGCGTGAATTTGTTCACGAGGCTTCTTGAAGGCCGGATAGGCAATGTGCTCACGGAAGGTGACACAAAACGAATTTTCAATTGTTCGCAACAACTCTGTCAACAAAGAGCCTCCATCGGGACTCAGGTGGGGTGTGGACAGAGTGCATCGTTTTGGAAACTGAAAAAAAATAAAATAAAATAGAGGTACTGTGATTGCTCCTTCCCAATGATTGTCGTAAATTTGGCTACTCCATCCTTTTCTGATCTCGTCTGTCTATTTGCTTTGTGGAAATGCACATTTTCTCCCGCCTTAGTGACAAAATTAATTTATATGGAATGGCCGGTTTAACGGAAGGGGAAAGTTTTGCAGTCTACAATGCACTGGTGCAGATGGATGATAGGAGGTGTGGAAGTCGGTGTCACCAATGCTCTCGAAAACACCAGTAAAAAGCAATCTTGAGCTTAAGTTCTGCCTAAAAAGCCTAAATTTGAACTAAAAATGTGTAATTTTTTGGGTGGTAAAATCATCAACCGCCATCCCTCTCGCCTGATTTTGCCCTCTCACTCCTCTCATCAGGTGTGGAGCCGGGCGGATCCAGTTTTCCCCAAACCGAGCCAGGCAAAGAAAGAAGGAAAAAACTCAATCCCAATCCCAACACTACAGACCGTCTGGATTTTATCTAAACTCACTCTGATAAGCCTCCTTCTTATTTTCGGGTACGAACGAGCAGTCAAATGCGGTGTGTCTTTAGTGTCATTATTAGACGTGAAGAGAGTGATGGCCTGAGGGTCGGTGACAAGACGCAGCGTTTCCGATCGTCCCCCGAATTGTTTAGACGCGTTCACTTGATGCTGCTGCTGTTGGACAGCAGTCAGAGGCAGTGTTTTAACCGTTGAGAGGGCCGACTGCATGTTCGTCATCACAGACGGCGTCTGATCCTGTTTGATGCGTGGTTTGATTGGACGAAGGCGTCTGGGCTGGTGTCTGCCTGGGTCTGCAGTGGTGCCGGCCAGGGGCGAGGAGGCGGTGCTGGACCTCGACCCTCCCTCATTCTCGCCCATCAAAAACAGCACCACCCCATTATTTTGATTCTCCTAGAAGTTCAAAATAAACTAAATTAAGTTTGGATGTAGTGAGGTGGATTGTCGAGAAGATTTAAGTGCGCACCTCGGTGCAGTTGTCTCAACTGAAAGTCCACTTTGATTTATGCACACAAACAAAAGTGCGTGTACATTTGATGGCAATAATGTGGTCTCAGGGCTTTCAAATTTGCATTTATCGCCTGCCTTTGGCTTGACGTTAAAAATTAAATATTTGAAACCTGTCAATTTGTGTTTTCTAATCAAATAATACACACACTTTGCTTCTTCACTTGACCTTTGGGAAGAATTGGCATGTTAGTGATTCTTTGTGCACAACAATCAAGCCTGTTGGCTTAAACAAATCCACTCAGTGGGAGGATAATGTTTATAAGGAAAAGTTGTTGAAGAAAATAAGGGCAGAAAGAGGTGTACTGGAAGTTAAAAGGTGGTCTTTGCATAACATTTACATAATCAGGCCAAGTTCTCTTCACTGTTAGGGTTTCAATGGAGCAAGATGGAAGATAACCGTGAAAACAGATGAAAATGTGGCATTCTTCATCAGACGTAGTTGCAGACAGGAGGAGAGTTGGGCACTTTTTCCTACAATTTCCTGAAGCTTAATGTTGCTGGGCACGAACACGCATTTATCATTAGGACTGGCTTTTGTTCCCTCCTCGATTCATACAGCCCCTCCTTCTGTCCCCCCCCCCTCCCCACCCCATGCCTTGTCCGTCCTCCCCTCGACTTTCTTCCTCTTCCATTATCCTTTCGTGGAGGAGGTGCCATGCAATACTGCGATTAATTACACATTCAAGAAAGAGCTTGGCTTTTGTCATGCTCTTTCTATCCATTCTATTCTAAAACAAAACCGGGTTAAAGTACGTGTCTTCCTTTCTCTCTGTCTTGTAAATATGTACACTCGAAATTAATTCCAAGAATGGCATTTTGAGGTGGATTCCAGAAGTTGTTGCAATGTATGTGGATGGTCTCAACAACTGGTAAATGCATTTCAAACTGTCAACTGGCTTGTGATTCTATTTTTTTTCCTTTTTTTGCAATAAAAATGCGATTTTAAATCGGATTACGTGAATTTTTTTTTCTATACCATTTTTAGGATTAATGAGTGGAAAAGTGCTCGCTGCATTGCATTGCAAATGGAAATGCGCATTCCTGATTACCTCCAACGAGAAGTACACTGCCTGCTAGACATTCTCATTGATGTGGTTTGATGTTGAGTGTCGTCGGGTAGACCGACGCCACTGCAATATTGTTCAGGAAATTAAAATTGTCTAATGGGAAGTGGAGAAGAAGGGGAAGGAGAAGAATGCCCATCCATTGAAGTTGTACCGACGAGGCTGAAGAAAGCAGTGTATGCGAGTCCATAAATCTATCCCACCATCCACCAACTAACCGTCTTTGTAAATCACTTTCAGCGCTTGATTTATGACTTCTGACCTGCACACAATAAAATGCTTCAGTGGGCAATCTCCAGGGGCGCAAGACAGTGCGTGCTTTTATATCCTTTGTGTCAGTACAAAAGCAATCATGCACAAAATTAGCATTTTTTTTTCCAAAGGTAGTAGAGATCAGGGAACAACTGAATTGTTTACCTCCAATTCATGCATTAACATCCTATTTTTTTGAAAAAAAATGGCTGGACAAATACTGGATTGCTAGGGCAGCTAAAATGAGAAAGAACCTTCTTAATGCCTTGCAAATGCATTCGAACTTATGCCCAATTCGCTCAGCACGGATTGTGTAGATGAACAATTGGCTTCAAGACATTCGATCCAACCAGGAGAGATTTTTCGATGGCCTAAAGCACTGAATGCATGCAAGTACATGGGCTCATGTCCTTTGTTTGGTAGCTCACGACAGCTGGATGGTGGAGGAAAGATGATTAATGGCGCTCCTTCATAAATTACGACTTCTAAGAGAGTAACAAGTCCTCTCAATGGAATCACAATGCTAAGTTTGTAGCTAAACTAATCGAATCTAGGGCTGAAGTGTATTAAGTAGTATGCGCAACGACAGCAACAAATGTTAGCGCACAATCGACCTACATCACTAACCATGATTTGCGACCCAGGCGAGAATGAGTTCACCTTGTTCCCATTGCACTGAGTGGTGGAGAGGATGTAATCCTCTTCCAGTGTAGGCAGCGATGCCGGTGTGGCGCCCCAGTCGTAACCGCTTCCCCCTGACACCGACGTGTCCACTGAGGGAATGCTACTGAGTGCAGTGAAGGTGGCGTCGCTGCCACTTGGCGAGCTGCCATCGTCAAATAGTTGTGATGACGGATGTCGCACCGACTCCACAGCGAATGACACTTTCTGGCTTGGTTGTTGACCTTAAGTGAGTGATGACACTGTCTTATGATAACCATGAAACTTCATCCTGTTAATGCACTTTCGTAAATGCTTGTTAGCCATGTAGGATGACAAAACAACGTCGCAAGGGAATGCAATCAGTACTCCAAGTTAAAATCAAACAAATCTACCGATCAAATTACTTACTTCATTTTGATTTTACCAATGTACAGATCAGAGCGTCTTAGTCATCGTACATACAGTGACATCCAGTCTCATCAGGGTTTGAAGAAAAGTTACAAGTTACAATTATGTGAGTTCGAAGAGAACTTCACGTCCTCTCGGTGCGTATTTGATGGAAAAGGTTGCATCCTTATTTCCACCACAGAATTAAAGAAAGTAAAATTCACAAATGTGACTTGGTAAAGTTAGACCATAAACGTCGAAAGTAATAGTAACTTGGAGGAAGTGCATCTGCAATCATCTATTTATAGCACAAGTTTTACGGGCAGGTTTCATGTTAGCATCCACCACAGTTCAGTCGCCTAATCGACTATTGTAGTGAGTTGGCAATATATTTTTGTTCTAATACGATGCTAATGAATCACATTAAGTTGCTCCTTTAAACTGAGGCCTACCTTATGTCATATTTTTTAATAATGTTTTGCCTTACCTCGACAAAAACCAAAAAATTGGGTCATTCGCCAATGCTTTACGCTAACATACTGCTTTCATCACCCCAAATCCTGGCTTTAGATGCAGTCTCATGGATAGTCACATTGCCATCTTTTGGTGGACTGGCCTCTGGACACCTCCGTCCACCATTTATGACTAGATTCTGCCCAAGGATTATGCTTTATTTTGTTTTCAAGGTATTTCTAGCCCTGGTATTGGGTGACCTTCTAGCACCCTTAGAGGTTTATATGGATATCGCAGTAGGAAAACAAACTGCAGCGTCGCCTCCAGACATACAAATCAAAATAAACAGTGTGATATGCCTAATACACTACCCATTACAGCAGCATTACTTTATTGCCTACCTTTAAAAAGCAACTCTACCAGAAGTAAAAACCGCTCCCGTTATTTGTTTTGACTAAAAGGTGGGCAATGTGTTGCGCAGACCTGCTTAATTATTGCACTATAAAGGTAAAGTTAGCTACCGTATGCATAGTCCTTTAGTTTCGACACCTCAAGGAAGATTACGATCCCACGGCTACTGCATTCAGTACTCATACATTCACTATTAATATGTTTCACCAATGATTCCGTTTAAAAATAAGACTATAAGACTACACCGCCAATACGTAACCACAGCATAGAGATACCAATTGCCGCCTCGTCTTACGACCTTGACTTTTGATTAACTCATTACCACAACCGGTTACGCCACCTGTCAAATTCGGGAACTTCAGAAACATATCCGTATTTAATCGTGATATCACGAATTACCAGACATTACTTCTATAATTTTTCGCTTTATTTACGAGTGCTCAACCCTCAATTCGTACTGATCTGACGTTGACAGTGACCAAAATTAGGCAGACACTGACAGCGTCTGCTTAATTCGTTTCCTCTTCAGTTTGACAAAACATTAGTGCATGGTCAAAAAAGTATTACATTTGAAAAATATTAGGGTGACAATCAAAGTCAGATCCGACCATATCTTGTCAGGTATTTCTCGTAGTTTAGCTTTCGACTACGTTAAATCCTCATAACATTCAAATTTATCGTTAGTGTAGATGAATGCCTTTTAAAAGGCAATGATTTTGACTTTCACAATGACCTCGCCTCTAAACTTAATTTAAAAATTCGGAAGTTATTGAGGAAACTTAGGACTTCTTGCCAGTTTTTGCTCCCTCAAGGCTGTATTGTAGGCTAATCCTAAAGCAAAAATTAACAACTTTACTAAACAGTGCAGCAATTAACCCAGTTCATAATTAATCTGGCTTATAAATGGACATTAGCAGATGATAATAATGAAAATTTTGTGAAATTTGAAGGCAGGTTATTCTTATTCTTAACAAATTCGCCTTGTGAATCCAATGATCGGTTAAAATAACTTGTGCTAACTAAGAGAAAACCATAATATGAAGGAAAGTAATCCTAAGTACAGATAAAGCACCTCTTTAGCCCACATTTTCCAACTAATTTTGTGACCTTCGTGAAAACGGATTTTAATTTCACACAGCCCTCTTCGACTAACCACTTGACTGCTTACATATTTGAGTAGCCGCTGTGTCCTGATTGGCGGAGGAAAGGGATTGGCTGCTGTCACCGGCTTTACTGAAGTGCTGTCCATGGAGGGCGAGGGAAAGGTCGAGGTGCTTCCATGTCTTGAGAGACCTTCGACCCAGTTTGGCCGCCTCGCGAGACATGCCGAGCTCCAGACACCGGCGCAGCCGGCAAGGTTGACAGTGGTTGCGAGTCTTGATTGAGATCTTGCAGCGATCCTGCCTAATGCACTTGCGCAGGTGTGCCCGTTTATCCTACCCGTCCGAACACGTAAAATACCTGTCAAACCTCTCATTGATAGGCTATATCTGCGTAGCAGTGAAGAGGTAATACAACATGGGACACTTTTGTGTGCGACTAAGTTATTTTTGTTTGGGCTCACTCCTCGCAACTGTTGTTGGCCCAAAAATAAAGTTGTTCCAGTGGGAACGCCGGGTGAGTTAGTGCTGGATCCAATTGATGGCTACCCTTGCACGCGATTCCCTTATTTATTGACGCAATCTCAGTAAATATTTATGGGATTTGTGGCATTTACGAATTACTTAAGCTATTTGTTTTAACGAACGACGCAGTGTGTTTGTCTTAGTCAACGACCAACGTAAATTCCCATTCCCGCCTACAAAATTTCATTTGGCTATATCTGAATGTCTTTCTTGCAACAACAACAATGACTTTCCTCAATTTTGTTAATTTTAACCGGAGAAGAATGTACTGTCCGACGCTATTCCGTCGATTTTTATAAACAACTTTGTGGCATGGATGCTGTTTGTAAGGCGAATATTCTAATCCTCCCTTTCCAGCGTCATTTGCAACACCACCGAAACCAAAACCGACATTCAGGAGGCGCACTGAGGACAGAAGAGTCATCGATCTAGTCCCCACTTCCTCCTCCTTCTCCTCGATGCCCTTCATTCGTGTAAACTATTATTAACAGGTCTGGACATCTAGCTAGTCTGTGCTTCCCCAAAATCCCTCCAGAGTGTGAATTTTTAATGTCGGCTGGATGCGATTTGTGCTTCTGAGTGCTTTGCTATAGTTGTGTTGTCTGTGTAACAGTTGGACTGAACTATGTTTTCAAATAAGCACTTTAAGCTGCGCTACAATGTGGATGAATGACAAAGGTTTTGTAGCAAAACTAGCATTTCGAAGTGTCTGTTATAAGTCTGAAGGTCACTAGGCAAGAAGGTCACCAAAACAGCAACTTTAGGCACTTGAAGGGCAGTGGCAAATAAGGTTTGCCTTGTGGTCAAAATGCGTTCCCAGTGACGCTCGTCCCTAGCTCCGTTTAGTGCCAACACCCTGGGCGGGAAGCCTAATTCTCTTGCTTTCAACGTCTACTCTGCACTTTAGCCATCCATGGTAAGCAACGCATGGAATTTGGGTTCTTGAAAGGCAACGAGAGCATAACGCCTTCGCAGATGATACCGGATCGAACTACAGGTGAACCTAAAGCTGCACTTATGCACAAACAATTCAGTCCATTTGCTTATCCGTGCAAAAAAAATATTATTTTGAAAGAAAACACCACATAGGATTCAAAATTTAGTCACAGCTTACCTGCAATGCCCGCCGAAAGAATCCTTTGCAGCCTTCACAGGAGAGGACTCCGTAGTGAATTCCACTAGCCGTGTCTCCGCACACTTGACATAGCATTGTATTTGTAAAACTGCTAAATCCTATTTTTGTATTTTTAATACTAAATATAATTTTTTAATCTAGTGTACCCTAGGCTACACGGTGGAATGATCACCGCAGGCACCAGCATGATGAAGCTGTCTCGTCGGCACCTCCCATTGGACTCGTTTCGACCAATCACATCGCTCAGTTTTTTGTGCTGCCTTGAGAGTATTATTTACCCTTAAATCGCCCCATTTGTCCGAATTCTTAAAAGTCCAACTCAAAATTACTGTTAGAGCGCCTAAAAAAAGCAGTAATATCTTGCGAACTGCAAATTGTTTAGCAGAAGTTGAACGTGGCAGATAGTCTTTCATATGCGCCCCATCACCCTTCTGGGCAAGCCTCAAAAGGCAGGCATTTCTAAAAATGTTGAATGGCCTTAAAGTCGAGTTAATGTTAACCAAGCAAAGGACTGTTACCTAAAGACGAACTCCAATGAATGAGGCTAGATATTACAGTATTGGGTTCCTGAAGTAGACCAAGAATGTTGTGCGAAGGGAGCACCTAAGACAGGTGTGACAATTCCACCTCTTACCTTAACCGATGGGCGAATCCTGTCTCCTAGGTTTTTGATTAAGCTTCCAGCACTTAAAACTGTCGGATAATCTTGAGGTTTGATGCGATTGGTTGTCAAAACAGTCACTCTGATGGGAAAGGAAGTTCTTTTCCCATCAGCGTTAAGTTGGAAGCTAATCGCATGGTTAGTTGATGGGGAAGCGTTGCAACAGTTCCACCCAAAGCCAAATTATGAGGCTCCTTTTGTGAGTGTGTGGAATCGGTGAAAGCCGGTGATGCTCCCCACCCAGTTAAGTCGTTCCAACATTCGACCTTGAGGCTGGCTTGCTAAACCTCTGTAGAACCCTGCCCTGGGTCTAGCTCACGTGACTTTGTAGGCACACCCCTTCGCGCACCCATGTAGCCCACTCAACAGACGCCTCACACCCCGTATCGATTAATCATTGATTATCAGTACCCGAGTGGTGCGGGCGCAAAACTGTGTTTGCCATAGCCACCCTCCACTTATGCTGCAAGAAAAACTTTTTTGTGTATGGAATTTAACTTTGTGGTACCACACAGGAGGCGCGAGGCTGTTAATTAAAGAACACTGCGCTCCCCGTATGACTGGTCGTTCGCTTTAACCCTGACTTTCAACTTGAAATGGTAGGGCGGTTGTGGACCATCGCCATCGTTCTCCTAAGGGCATCACAATACATTCCTCATCTCAATAATAGTGTTGACAGTAGGGCAGCACTTTATGATGTATATCACCCAGCATCGCGATTCTCACTATTCTTGTCTGCAATGCACCTAATGAACCTTTTTTTTAAATACAAGCAACGTCAGACATTTTCCCGTGATATTTTGTGCTGTAAGGCCTGCACACAATCGCCTCCTTTTGGTGTGTATACAACTGGGGCCTTGTGTGAAGCCTATTTACTGCAAAAAAGGGTAAGGTAGCCGCAAGGCCCACTTCATGAGCGTTAAATGGTAGCATTACTGACACTGAAATGCTTATTGTGAAAGTTTGGCATTTAGGAAGGAAAAACTGACAAATTTGAAAAATAATTTGGCAGAACTGTACCATTTAACAATGGAAACGTGGTAAAATTGGTACTTTTCCACTACTGCTGCATTTTACTTTATTAACGCTGCAGTGGAGTGTTGGAAAGGTTAAGGCGTATTTCAGGCATTGTGCAAGTATTTTCAAACGTTACACGCAAATCGGTTCCTTTCTGCCAACCGTATGTGTGGCCTCCACTTTCATGACCGACCGTCGTTTCGCACGCCTGAATTCCCACTTAAAGAGCCTCTAAACCGCTCTTTAAATCTACAGGGCCACCAAAGGGACAATGGCCTTCAAGAAGGAGAGGCTTAAGGGATCAACTACTGGTAAGAGACCTTGTGAGACTAACACACGCCACAAAGCATATTGCTTGCTAACAGGGGTTGAATTCAAACAATGCCCTTCCCTGTTTGGGAACGTACACAGAAGCGTTCGAATCAACCAACCACCTCTCCCTCACAAGGGCAACTTAAATGCTTTTGTATAACTTCAGAACTGACAAGTAGGCCTCCCTTTATCATTCCTAGATTCATTTTAAGTCAATTACATCGCACTAAGATTCTTGGTGTGAGTAGGAAAAATAATATTGTTCTTAGACAAGTTGCATAATATTGTAGCTTTGACTGAATTCAGTGAACTAAAAATTCTGCTTTATGCCTTGCTTCGCCGCATCAGCACTTCTCCCGGAGAGAGTGATTAATGATAGCAATCAAAATTTTATAAGACAGTGATAAAATGTTGACATAGACGCAAACCGAAAACCACTACTATCTTGGTATTTCACTCTGACAGTTCTGCGTTTCGAACCCCTTCGAAGAGATCATACTGACTCGCAAACAAGTTTTGACTTACACTCACCTTTCAAGATTTCCATCCGTGTTAATCCTTTCTTACTAGTCCTAATGTTGATTTGAATAAATAAAACTCTTTGCAACTAATACGAGGAAGTAGACTGTGAAATGATTAGGTGCATAGTTTTGAAAAATTGAGTCTCCTAAATCCTCCAGATTTATTGCTTTAATTTACTCTGCGTGTCAATTTAAAGAATTCGCATCATGACTCCTGTTGGAATTTTACAAGGAATGTCTGACTTGAATATTTTTGTGATGCAAAGCGAACACCTAGTTTCACTCTTTTCTTTGTTCGAACCTTTGTGTCTCCTTAACGTGTTTCTTTGTTTTGACTGCGTTATTTGCAGTTCACAAACGCGCAAACGCATTGGATGACGCTGTGATGTGAATGTGTATTCGTTCTCGTGACGTTAAGAGTGAGTCAAAAATTTCCCATTCATTAACGCGACACGACGGAAGGACATTGCCTTGTAAAGGTGGTGTCTTGGCTTGGTGCTGAGGCACAATCGGTGTCAAAAGCCTGAGACGGTCGGTAATTTGTACCGCGAAGAGCTGCGCCTGGTGGATGCATCAGCTACCGCGATTGGAAGGTTCCGCTCTTGGGACTTCGTGTTAGTGGGTGCGTCTTTGACTCGCAGACGTAAAACACAATGGAAGGAGGAGGAGGAGGAGGGAGTTGTAGAACTGAGCATCAGTTCATGCGTCTATAAATACGCAATTATGCATGTGCGTACGTTCGTTCACAAGGAATGTCTGTTGCCGCCGCGTCGTTTTGGTAGGAGGTGGAGCATAATTTATGGCTGGCATGGGCACCCAGTTGCAGCAGATGGCAGCAGAATCGCAAGCCACTGGCGGAAGAGGGAGGGCGGCGAGCCAACACCACACAGCATCCGCTGGACTGGGGCAGTGACTAAACCGACCGCTCGTTTGTGCTTCACCCGGTACCACCTTTGGACTAGTTTCATTGGGGCATGTGTTTCTTGTTTGTGCTATTGTTGGTAGTATCAGTCGTAACCTTTATTTTTTGACAGGAAAATGTACATCTGAGCTTTTATGGTTGTGTACGGCCAAAAAGTCGGGTCTAAAGTAGCTCCACATTGTCGTAATTACTTTATACGTGTAACTCACTACTAAAAATGTTAGGAATTTAAACTATTAGGAACAATGCCTTCAATTCTAAGCAGAAAGTCTCTTTACAAATGACATCCCACTAGTCTGTCCTGATTGGTTGAGGGTTTTGGCCATTTTCTGTTCACTTGCAAGGTCACCACTTCGAACACGTCTCCTCATTTTCCCAGCAAATTGTTCTATTTCAAAACAAGGTAAAGTCTTGCGTCGTGGTGTCGGTCTGTGTAATCCTCGTAGAATGCGCAATGCCCCAATCGGCCTGGGTAGAGTGGGCAAACAATCGTCTACGCTGCCGGTCCTATCAGTTGAAGTAGCTTTGTTTGTGCACCTTTTGTCATCTTTTCCATTTCTAGTGGGTTCATAATCTGAGTAGAACCTGTCGCTAAAGGTAGCGCGATGTGATGAAGGTATGGAGGTAATAAATTTCGGTATGAGCGAACGCAGCAATTCTAATTATTCTCCACGCCTTCATCCCATCCAACCGCACTTATCAATTAGCCCCAAACTGACAAGATGGTTTCAATTTTCTTGTTCGGACAATCCGCTCTGGTGCCCAATCTATTCACTCAATTAATCTCTTCTGTTCGGTCAACATCTTTTTTCTCCCAAGTCAATTCAAAACTCACGCTAAATTATGGTTTGTAGCGCAGTTCAGACGATCAGCATCCGGGGAACTGCTCTACCCTAAAACTATTGCGTTTCCTGATCAAAGTTAGCACAAAAGTTGTGTTGAAAAGTTGAAGATATTTGCGTTGGAGTGCGCACCTCACAATCAATTTGTCAAGTGGTGAGACTAGACCATGGCAGGGGATAAGTGGTTTCTGTGTTTCAGTGGATGAAGAATGCGACTTTTTCTGATCCCCTCCCAAATTCGGTCTCCACCAGTGGTGACGTGTACGAGTGCACACTCGTGTCTGCACCCACCTTTGAGGATTGTCGGAAGAGCACAAAACCACCACCTCATTGTCCAGAGCATCTTTCTCTACTCACCGTTCTGCAGTCGACTGCCTTCGCGATCTCGCGCCTGGACGATTCTTGGTGCGATTTTGGAGTAGGTGGACCACTTTTATAAAGGCTCTTCAATGCATCTAAAAATTTCAAGCATGAGATGTTGGGTGGGTGACTTTCCACCACTTCGACGGTACAAAAACAAGAAACCTTGGTGCTATTTGTTTTGAAAGGCTATTTCGGTTTAGCGCTCTTCCATCCACCTGTCAATCAAAACAATCACAATACATCAACCTTGGCCGAGAGTAGAGGGGATAGGAGATAATGACTGGTTTGGTCACTCAGAAAACATGTCAACATTTTATTAGTCAAAATGGCCATACATCTACAATTACGGAAAAAGAAAAAATTTTAATCATTTGGGATCCCACTGCACTGGTTTCAACAACCAACTCTAATGCTCCCGCCTTTGGACCCTAGCACAGTAGAAACGACCTGAATTTTGAGTCCATTCAAGCTTAGACTCTGCATTCATTTTCAAATAACTCCCAACCCCTATTGAGGAGGGCTTCCCATTCTTCACTCAGGCTCCTGAACCTCCCACTTTATGACTAGATTTTTTTAGAAGGACTTATTAGGCAACCTCTGAAGGATCCAAAACGTATGGATGGGGTTAAGACAGCAGTCCGGCGTTACTCCGCGGAAGGGTCCTTGCGTCCCTCAAGCCCAAGAGTCGCATTGAACTTCCCCCCTCCCCTGTAAGCATTAATTATTGCAAAGCGATCTCATTAGTGCTTTTCTTGGGATGCGTCTTGCTAGTTGTTGAATTATGGAAAGGCACTACTCGATGTCAGTGGACCCACCTCCTTCTCCGCATTAAATGCGCATATTCGGCCTAAGCAGTGGGTGTCCATTCGCTTTCGGAAAAACTCCGGCACAACGTACGCAGCAAACGGCATTTTCTGCAAACCATTTGACTTACTTCATTCAAACTTGACTTTGTTGACATTTTGTGCACATTTGTCCTCAATCCGCACACGTACCGTAGTCTACAAAATGAATCGGCTAATGTTAATACACTCTTTGTCTTCGATTAAAATTAGCATTTAAAGGCTAAAAATAGCGGCCTTAAAACTTGGGTTAATCCGTGAACCTCTTGTCAGAACCCATTGAATCCATTCACTAGATAAAATACGCAGAAGCCTTCAGGCAAAATTTAAAAAATGGACGGATTACTTTTATTTGTGCACATTGTCTATGAATTTATCTCAAGTACCATATCTTCTCTTTTTGTTACGGAGACTCAGCGCATATAAGACCACTTACGCGCCTCAGTTTTCGTGTATGTCTGTCGAAGCCCATGTATCCTCCTCTTTCACCATCTTCACGTACAAAAAACATTTGAAATTAGAGATAAGCAGCGATAATAGAGGTAAATGTAATTCCACAAGGCTTATTTGAATGCACTTAACACCTTAGCAACCCATGACGTGGATTCATAAGCTCAGATTCTACAACGGCTGGAGGCTAGAATTGGATGACTTAGGGCTAAAATGTTTCCACAAAAATTTCCAGAACTATAAAATCAAAGCTTAGTAATCATTGTATCAAGCAGAAGTAAAGTGAACGCAAAAAAAAGACATGTAACTTGGTCTGTAATACATCGTTTGTTCAACCACCTACGAGAATGATGGTCAAATTGCTACCCTTTTTGCTCGTGGATGCGTGGGCTGATCTTTTAGTCAATTCAGCACCCGTCCTCTTCCCCTTACTCCTAAATATATATACAGCCTCCTGTACTTAATGCCTTTCACATATGGTGGGAAATATAGGGAGTTACAGGTATATTTTGAAGAGTCACACGTAGGAAATTTAGGTGTTATTTTAAATATTTTTGGTAAATAGTTCAGCAGCAGATAATTTTTAGGTCTAAATAATTGAATTTGATGGAAAACGATCAATGAAACAGCTTTAAATACATTTAATGCTATTTTAACACTTCTCGTACTTTGTTAAATACATTGATTCTACCAACTAAATTACAAGATTTCACGACGAAATCAAAGCTTAAAACAGATTTTATGAGCTAAGGAACCTCTAATTTTTACGTCAATTGAACAATCGTCTATACTGACAATGATGTGAGTGTTTTGTAGCACGATTGGTAAACTATTCTTGTGCCTCGCACGTGCTTTATTGTCCCAAGCAGCCTGATTTATGTTCCAAGCGGGTGTGTTTGTAGTTGCCATATTCACTTTATACACCTAATAGTTCTCTCTAATCTGCTGCTTTGATAAATTCAGAATGGAAAAGTGCACTCTTCCCTCCAAATTGGTATTCATTTACACTCCCAAACTGCCGTTTACCTTTGTCACCCATTTTTTTTCTTGCGGCGCTTTAGTCTCTCCTAGTTGATGGTGTCGCAGCTTAGTTAGTTATTTGAATGTGTATTTCTTTTCCTTAATGGTTTCGCAAAATCTATTTCACTGGTGTACAACGCTGTATTTGCTATTATTTAAGGTATTCGAAATGCAAGCTGTTATATTGGCCCTTCACGATTCGTCTTATCTTCGTCAGCTGACCACATCTGGTATAGTTGGTCAACTTCCTCTTGGGAAACAAGGCTCACTTCTCTCAAATCTTGTCGGGGTATTTGAATCTGCCGGTATCGTAGATCCAATTATTATATGTCGATCTGGTGACTCAAAACATATCGAGAAGTGTCTTTCTCAATCGCATAGTTGTATTATTGTCGAAGTATCTGCGACACTCAGCATTCCTGAATGCCTTTATCGTGTCCGGGATCATTTCACCTGTGTCCCCTTCGCTCAGTACGTGTTTCTCACATATGCAGATGTTGCGGTCACGGAGTTAGACCTCCGTGATCTTTTTCTGAGGATGGTTCGTACTAAAGCAGAGATTGTAGCTTTGGCCTCACCTTACACTGCAGATGCGAAGCTTCTCAAAATGGCTAGGGGCACACATGACTTAATGGTGTTGGATGACAAAGACGAGTCTCTTGTTATGTATGTACCCGCCTTGGAGCTGAAGAAGCAGATACGCATACCGAAGTCAATAATGTCTTCCCATAGCAATTTGACATGTCGAGCAGACCTTCATGACGTCGGACTGTATCTGCTCTCCGGATATGCACTAAGGATGTTAGAATACGATAGGTGAGCGCCCTTGATAAATATTAGTGGACTTCGTCTGCCACACATACCCTCTATTTTTAAAGTCTTGCGGTCTCTGTAGTGATGTATGCAGAATTATGTCTATGTATGCATTGGCAGCCGCAATGCGCAGCTTCATTGCTTCAATTATGAGTTTATTTTCAGTCACATAGCTCATTTGACCTTCTGGCTTTCCAGTTATTCATTCTAATGTTTGGGTCGACTAATTCTCAATGTAATTCATTTAGAGACGATGCCGGCCTGCGAAAGTCTTTCTTCAAACACATTGTCAACGTTGAACAGCACAAATCCTTTCAATTTGACACCAACTCAAGTGAGTACGAGTTCAAATGTCTTAGAAATGTCTCGCTGTTTAAGGGCTTTTCACCATATGTTCTTGCGAATCCCATGTCATTGAAGTCTCACTGAAGTCCTCGTAAAAATCTAACCAACTCATTAATTGTTCTTTTAACTTTATCGTACATCCTCAGGGCTGTCCTTGGTTGGTTATGGTTAACGACTCAAGATTGGTATTAAGACGAATCGTGTGATTGTTTTATTCTTTGCCGTTTTTCCTTTCTCACGCCTACTCTTCATCAGTGACAAGTCAAATACCAAAATCACTTCGATACTCACAGGATGAGATGTCACAATACGCCAAAGTTGTCATCTCAGTTCTCGAGAATGCACCGGTATGCCGTCGCATTGACTCGGCTTCCAGCTACCTGGATGCTGTCAAGATGGTGGGTTAATGTGATTTTGCATTTAAATGTTCCTCATTATGCCTGGTGGCATTCTGCCTCTGTAAGGGTCTATTGGGTGATGTTTGCTGATAATCAACGCCTTTGGGTGCCGTTCAATGCATAGGAAGTGTTTCAAACGCTTGTGATAGTTGGATGCTGTAATTTGGTGTTGAGATACCCAGGGATTTGATCGGACCCATTTTTGCCTCTGTGATAAAAATTGAATCTGACCCAAATTTGACCTTGTGCACTTTTCGAGAACTATTTTAATGGCATAGTATGTTTCTTGAAAGTAGTGGTTCCTACTTTGTCCATGGTTTATTTGTTTTAGTTTAGGACGATAATTATATCCACTGGTGGGAGATACTGGAATTTTAAGTTGCATGGGAACTCACAACATCCAATTTTCGCTTTCTGTTCCACAGCTTCGAGAAAAGTATCCACCAGAGAACACGAAAGTTGAAAAATCGGCCCCAGCTGGTAGCGCTAGTGACCGTCAGGTTGGCAAAGTAGTTGATACCATGCAGGGCGAGGGATGTAGCTTCGCTGTCGGAGCGCTTATCCGGTCCTGCATCATTTGCTCCAATTGCACTGTGGGCCAGGGTACCCGACTCTTCAGCTCTGTTCTCCTCTCTGGTGTTGCGGTGGGCATTGGGTGCGTGGTTTTCTCATTATATGCTCGTAAATAGCTGCAAACCTTCCCATCGTTTTAGCTACTATGTGTGATTTAGAAATCACTTGTCAGGTCTCCCATAAAGGTATTCTTAGGCGACGTAGATTGTGAATTTCGAAGCGCCGAAATACGTCCTTTGATATGCAGCGTATGGAAGGAAATAGTGGAATTTGCCCTCGTTTGCAGCCTGTGTGGGATTTTTTCTTTCCTAGTCGAATGTTGTTTTCCTGTCGTCCCTAGTGTTCGCGGTCAGTAGTGCAAGCAAAACTAAGTTGCCACAAGTAAACAGTCATTTTATTGTTGTTGCAAAAAGTTAGAGTACTTGAGCTACCTCTCGTTCACAGCTATGTCCACTGCGCGTGAGAGGCTATTGTCAACTGCTCATGTAAGCGCTGCCGTGGTTAAGAGTTTCAGGGGGCGAATTGTGTGGTGCCTTAAAACAGGGCCAAGTTTGCCTCCCCTCAAAAAGGTTGTCCTCGGGATGTTATGTAGTTACCTCTTGTGTGTGCGTTTTTTCAGTTACCTTTACTAACTTATTACTTTTTTATTGCAAAATGCTACTTTGCTTGTATGTTTAGGTGCAAGGTCACGAACTGTGTGATTGGAGAAGGCGCGACAATTGATGATGGCTGCAATCTTAAGGACTGCACAGTAGCCGCACATCAGCGCATACCTGCAAAATCGGTAATGCAGTCAGAAAACATGGGTTTCTCCGAAATTGACTTTGATAACCTGACCATATAAGCATCCGGCAATTTAAGATTGCGACAATCCGTAGTCTGCTAATGTGCTTTGATATGTGCCTATGGAGGCTCTGTTTCTGTACAATAACTTCGTGAACCAAGGTCTTCTCTCCCATTTGAGTGTCGGTTAAGTGGGTGGTGGTAGCGAATGCGACCCAAAGTGGGGTGATGCGGTGGCGGCCTGTATATGTGCTATGTGCTAGTAGTTCGGTTAGTGTTGTAGCGGTGTTGTGAGCACTGATTCAGCATTGTTCTCCACTTCTTTTGAACCAGTGAATGAGGTGAAGGGAGACGTGGATTTTCATTGGGTAGTACCTGTTAAGTGATCGTGGGTATTGAGTATCGGGTGCGATCTCTTTGTGTGTTCCCTTAAACAGATCTAATAAATTCGGTTTAGCAAGCCACAGGTAATCTTATAGCTTGGACAACATTGAATTGCGTTGTTTGTGGGTACCGGACGTTTGGCGGTCACTTTAGAGTTTGTCGGGCACCTGTGCACGTGAGCTGCCTTCGGGCCATGCCCAGGCTCATTTGTCCTGTCGTTTTCTGAATATATGTTTTCAAGCTCAATTATGCCTTCTTTCACCCTATGGGAAGCCCCGAGACGCAACAAACATCGGAACGAAATTGGATACAGAAATAATTAGAATGAACACATTCATTTACTTTTGCACTCTAAATTACACTGTGCCAAGTTTGTGATCCATAAAGTTGTACAAGTGTACACAGGCTGGTTGCAATGATACGTCCGGCTTCTTTTTTAAACTTTCATTTTGACAAAGTATCGTAATTTAAGTGTACTGGACCGCAGTGAGCGCAAAATAAAAGAGTCAGGATGTCGAGGAAGCGGCATAGGTGTTCGTCCTACGATGCGGAATGTATTTTTCGCACATTTTGACATTTATATCGTAGATACATTTTATCCTAAACGTGGGCGCCCTGATCGTGACACAATAGAGTCGCTTGTATATAGGATAGGGAGCAAGGTTTGTTATTGGTGTGATTTGTATGCTATTTTGTAGGACACTGATAAAATTCTCAAGGATATCAGCGAACTGTGTAATCTTTTCTGCGCTGAGCTCGACAAGAATATTGAGCATCGCGTTAAGATAATGGCCTCTTGGTATTGGTGAAATTCTGAAATTAATGCATTTAAGCGCAAAGAATATTCCTGAGCGCATGCAAATTTACACCACCCTCCTTGGACTGATAAATCTGAGGAATCATGATTTCGTTTCCAAAACCGTTGACGCCATTATTAGAGACTTGAAGGATGCTCTTAAATGCAGCTCTTTTGATGACGTGAAATATTTGGTAGATTTGCGCTCCACATTGCTTACTGTTAGGTTCGATTCTTATCTAATTCGGTTAATTCCAACATTATTCATCCGGCCAGTTTATTATCGCTTTATGAAAATTTTGCGGAAGTGACTCTGGATGTTTGTTCAAGTTCTCAGGCGCGAACGGACTGGTATTCCTTTGTCGTTCTCTATGCACTGCCATATGTATGTCTCCCGTCTGTCTTATGCGTGAATTTTAGAGTGTGAAGCGCCTTAATGACTACAATTCCTCCTCTTTGAATGCGATTTTAAGCACTATTGGCGTGTATTTGTCGTAAGTTCACATGCACGCAGATGTAATTCATGTACTGGATTCTCTGCCTTAAACAACGACTAAATTTAAAGTAGTACCTTCTGTTTTTGTTTGTTTTTCTTGCAGAAAAAGGAGAACACTTCACGTCCCCATGCTTCGTGTCTGGGACAATTCCGATCCACACCCCCAGGAAGATGTAAGTGTCGGGTTACTCTTGATTTCCGCTTTAAGTATGTGGTTGTATTGTATTCCTTTTTTATTAGTATTTATCGTGTTTGTGGTCACAAATAACCTCAATGAAAAATGCTAACTGGAAGGAACACGTGCTATGGCGCATTTCGGATGCTTTTCCAGCTCTGCGTGAATCCGGACAGCCTTGCGAATTTGGGCAGGTAGCAATTTACTGGTCGTCTTTATTTTTGACAATGCTCAGATTACCTCTCGATAATCCTGCCATCGTATTTCACTGCTTTTTTTCAATTTTAACCACCTTTTATTTGAAACAGATCACACCACCAGATTACGATTCGGAAATAGTCTACCCTTTGCCCCAAGTCGTATTCCGCATGTTTGACTACACGGACGTCTACAGCGCAGACGACGATACTGCAGCAGATGATGAAAAGACTCTGAGTTTATCTAAAATCTCACCTTTGAGTTCTCCTACTCTTCCTGGTGCTCACACCATCGAACGGTTTTTGGTGGACGAGCAGATCCACATCATCCTGGAAACAATGCATTTCAATCGCGCTATGTGGTGCGTAGCTCTTCTCATAGTAGTAGTTCTAACCACCTTGGTCCTAGTCTTGTCTTTCCAATTCCATCTTTGTGATCGAGAACTCACATTTAAGGTGCAATTGCTCGTTGTTTTTATCTCCCAGTGCTCGAACTCTCTTGAACCTACAGACACGCGCTAAGTTGGCTTTGGACTATATGATAGTGGAAGCCATATTTGCTGATATCTTTCGTCTTCCAAAGCCACCAGTACGCCACGGCAATCTCTTGTTCTACGCTTCTCTTCTCATTCAACTCTGTAATGAGGCTGCAAACACCATTCCTTTAGTTCTCGCTCAGGCCACAGGGACACTTTTTGAGCGTCTAGATAGCATGAAGCCTGTGTGTATTGCAAGGTAATGCTCATTCTTGGACTCATTATTGACTCCCATAGATTTGTAGAGTGGTTTTCTTTCCACCTCACAAACTATCAATTGAAGTGGAGCTGGCGCGACTGGTCCCGTGCACTCGAGGAGCCAGTGATGTCGCCCCGACGGTGGTTTATTTCTGAGACTCTGTGTCGCCTTGTACGCTACTCTTACTATGAGAATGTCAAGCAGCACCTTCCACGTTCTTTCCACTGCCTCTTGCCACCTCAACCGGCTCCAGTCAACCCCTATGATAAAGCATGTAAGTTTTGCCATCGTCTTGGAATCTGGAGACATTGTGGAGGGTTAAATGGAAGGCTTTCTGTTCATCTTTATTCAAGATTACTTATTTTACTCGTGTTCCCTGGCTCTACAGCGGTGGAAATCATAGTCTGTGCTAAATCTCTCTTTTAGCCACAGCTCAACGTCGCATTTTTGTCCGTGTTTTGGAAGCGTTTCACCAACGTCATAGTCCTGATGACTTACTTGACCTCATTCGAAGATTCGCTTCTCAGAGGGGTGATGATTTTGACGACTCTGATCTCGAGCCGTATCGTCGATCACGTAGTAGAAGCAGAAGTGGAAGCAGCAACCACCCTCTCAACTCTCATTCCGAAACAGAGGGTTCAGCTGAGATGGATGGAAGGGATCAGCGGTCACGTTCCACTGGTCATCATCGCCTTGATGGCGATAAGAAGAGGAGTTCTCGTTCAAACTCAACTGCATCTTCCACTTCTGCGGCGTCTGAGAAGGCTTGTCCTGTGAAAGATGAGCTGGCATCGTCCAAAAGGGTGAGAAATGAGAAGATGGAGGAGAATGAGGATGACTTGGATAACTGTTTGGTGCCTGGTGTAACTAATCGTGAACTGGAGCTCTTCATGACTGCTCTGCTTTATCGCGCACACAAAACTATCAGCCACACCTGTTCATTGCTCAATCGGTAAGTTAACAAGATAAGATGCATTTAGCTTTGCGATTATGTAACGAGTTTTTCGAGATTTAGTCCATCCATTTGTTTATATATGTGTGTATTTTGACTCTTGATATGTAGGGTCTTTAATTTGCACTCATGGTCCTCCCTCATGTTCATTCTTCACCGAATAATGGTACTGTCGTTGATACAGATACTCGGAGACATTCAAGACGTTGGCGTCGACGGTAGAGTTGCAGGTGGAGGCCCTGCACATTCTTCAAGCAGTGTGGTGTAATCAGTCGCAAATGGTAGTGGCTATATCGGACTATATGTCGCGTCAGAGTATGTTGGATCCAGAGTCCATTGTGGGATGGGCCTTTTCACCCTTTATGTCCGCCTTCTCTGGTCCCCTCGCTCCACCGCCTTCCACTGTTCATGTATGTCCGCGAATGCTTCAGTAAGTCTTCCTTTTCTTTTATCTCTCTTGCTTCACGAATGCATCTATCCTCCATAATTTGATCTCCTTAAACTTAATTTAGATCACATGTGTGGGAGTGTCTCATGCATACACTGGTTCGAGTTGGGCAACGTATCGCCCAAATTACACCGAAACTGGAAGCTGTCAAGGATCAAGCAGGTGTACATCGTCGCAAGGTATGGTCTCTTGCTGTATAGAATGCATAACAACCCAAGTAAACAACGGTCTGATTATTGGATAATGTTTACTCGCAGTCAGCAAGTGGATCCCGATCAGATGGCAGCTCCAGTGACTTAGATGATGGTGATGATGACGGCGATTTGCGCGCTAAAATTGTTCGTGGACGTCGTCGCCACCAACGTCATTGCCGTAGCAGGAGTCGTGACAGTAGTAGCGGTGGTGGTGGCGGGGCTTCGCCAGACCGTCTGGCGCGCCTAAATGAGGAGCGTGGCGAGGCAGTGCGTTCGCAATGTGCAGTCATCACCCTCCTACTCCACCGACACGTACGTCTCATAGCAACTGTGGAATCGAAAACAACAGAGGAGATGGAGACGTCAGACAACCAGAGTGACCTTGTCGACCTTGAATCCGTGGCCTACTGGCTTAAAGGACGTCTTATGCAAACTGTTCTGGAGGTGCGAGTCTCGTTCCTGTCGTCATTAACACTTGATTTGTTAGCTATGCTACTGAAATTTATTTAAGTAGGCATTAACACGAGTCACATTGTCCTTTCGACTTGAAATGACAGATGCACACGGTCCTTAACATTGTGGTATTCTCGATGTATTTCAGCACCAAGACCAGCTATTACCTTACATGGATAATCTGGAGGAGCTGATGTCCGATTTGACACCATTCGTGGGCGACGTGTTTCAGGCATTGCGAAGCCTCTACGCCTGAGTCGATTTAATCATCGTCGTTCTATTCCAAAGGATTCTAGGGCTTTGCGCATTGCAGTTTGCATGTAATACATGTCTACGCTGTATCTTAATTGACTTTTGTTGTGGACGTATACCAAAATTCAACTGCCATTTGGGCATAATCATAAGCATGCAGATCAAATAGTGGTGCTTTTTCACTTAGACCGCTCAATTTGGTATGAATTGTTTCTTTTCTCTGCGTCTGCTGTGATCTGATTACGCCTTTTCGATGAAGTCGGCTCTGTATTTTTGATGCCGTCTGGTGCTCTGATGAAGTGCTGCACTGAGTTTTTTAGCTGCTCACGCGGTTGATGGGAGGGCTAAAAAGCAGAGTTCAGCAGTATGATAAATTTGGTGGTGATAAAGAGAGGTCTAATGTTGGTCACTTCAGACTCACTGATCAGATGTGGAGGTGGCGCGTTCTTCAATGTTTTGGTACAATTGGCAGTGAATTCTCATTTCTGTTTACTCCTCTTCTATCAGTTGTCGTGTCGGATGGTAAGCAACTTCTGGAGCCCATGAACAAGAGGCATCGTGTAAAGAATTAGGGTAAGGGTCAAGGTGATGCACGAAAGGGGCCACGGCGGATGTTAGAGTGACAAAATTTTAAAGAAGGAAGGCGTTCACAGTACAGTCAACCAAGCTACTAGTGCAGAAATATCAACAGGAGATTATGTTTTAAACCTACCAAGGATTAAAGTACTGAAACGTGGAATGCTCTCGAAATAACAGTCAGTTCTGTGCAACAGCATTTGAGTTGTTCGATGGACCACGAGGGTCAAGCCTTTGACACAAAACCTCTAACCTTTGAGAATTGAGGTCTGAGTTTGCACCAGTCGCTGGTTCATTCGTAATCCCAAATGCAATTCTAAATTTTGGCTGTGCGCTGATAGGATTATGATTCGATGGAATCTGACAATGACTTTGTGAATGCACGAGGTGATAAAACTTGGCATTGATGTGCTATCAAACATGTCGTTGTGCCTTCCTTCACCTTACAATTTTTGGACATTCTCCTTAGATGTCCAGACGCAACTCAGTCTTGTGGAGGGTGCACCTGTGCTGACAGGTGCATCGGAATAAGTTGTTTGCAAAACGAAGTCAATATTCCTTCAAATCTGTTGAATTATTTGTGCCAATTTTCAAATGCTACTTACAACGATTTCAGCGGCCACTCACTTTTCCTTAACTTTTGATGATAGCAACATTTTTAGTTTTTGGTTCATTAAAAAAAACAACGAAAACTAGTAGTTTGACGCTGAAACGAGTTGTGCACCTTGATCCAAATGCTCCCCTCCCTTTAGAGGCGTGTGGTTTCAGCAGCCTTTTATTACCGTCATGTTTTGATAAGTTTGACGAATGACTGTCAACTGAAACTCTGCGTCAAAGGTCAAAAACGGCAGTCCGGATGGCGGAGCTGTTGTGTATTTTTCCTCATACTGTAATAGAAGGCTTATTTTCAAAGGGACAGGCTGATGACCATAAAAACTGCCATCCCCTTCAATGTCGGAAGAGAAGTCGCCAGACGGAATGCTTAGAGGTAGCACCGGGAACGGTGCTTAAAAGAGAATGGGTGCTGTGGAATACATTAAGTTTTTGTTACTTTAAGCAACCTTGTAGATCAGAGGTTGATAATCAAAGCGGACGTTGTATTGGAGGGTCAGAAGGACGCTGCCTGAACCACTCCTTGGGTTCATCGCTTTCATGCTTTTGTAAGATCGCTTCCATTCTATTGAGATGCCAAATAAAAAAATTTGTAAGCAAATCATCTCCTAAGGAAACGTCAGGGAGGAACTTAGGCGATAACGATGTGGGAGGTTACAATGCTTGTCAAATACTTCGACACTTTCTCGAGCGCATCACTTTGATCAACTAGGAAAGGTTATTTGTAAGTACGCGAAATTTATCATGTAGCACCGAATTACTGTAACTTCCTTCTCACTACCTCGTATCACAGACCCTCATGCAGCGGCACGAACCAAAGTGTCACTTGACTAAACGCCGACATTTAAACCACCGTCTAATTTTGTCTTGCCTTACCAGCTGTTGTATGCTTCGAAAATCAGTGTCCAAGCAGCGTCATCATCGATGGTCACTGATTCATTCGACCAGGTGACAGGTCTTTCAACCAACTCCCTTCCTCTTTACTGTTTCATCACTCATCTTCAACAATACCCATACTTCTACTTTATCCTTTTTTTTCCTTCCATCTCCTTGATAAGTCACATTTGGTTCTGGTGCTTTCTGCCGCACCTCCTTCTCCACTTTTGAAACAAATAAAAAACCTACTGGTAGCGAGGATAAACTCAACTTCCATTCTCCAGTCATCACACTGGAAGGATGTGACAAACTCAGCCGCATCCATCATCACCCTCTGAAGATGGACTAAATTCAAGGCAGTCCTAAGGCACAGGATACCCTGAAGGTGAGTTTGGTGGCCTGCCACTGTTATTGTAGCATCTTGACAGCAACTGAAGGAGGGTGGCTCTTTTGACGTCTGCATTCTCATTTTAAATGCCTTTATGCCTTCGTTAGAATTACACAAGTCATGATTTCGTGTACACGCACCTAAATGACCTTTTGTCTCATTGTAAACAATGCTTCCGTATTTGTAGAATCAACATAAAAGAGGTCTACGCTGTGTTGGCGTTGTTTAACCTAAAACCGAGTTGAAGAATGATGTTTTTGATGTGCAGACTGTCAATCGCAAGAATGGAAATGTCAGTTTATTCAATCAACGTGGATCATGTGAACAAGAGTCGAAAGAACGAGAGGATTCCAAACAGTGAAAGCAGCAAACTAAGAGCATTGGTGAGGATTTGGGTTTTCACAAAAGGCGCTGTGCACGCATCTGACCAAAATAACTCACAGAGATAGAGCACACACAATTTGCTCCTTAAAAACAGCTTTGTCAGTCAAGCCTCAACGATGCTGTTTAATCCATTTGATTTAACTCTTTTGCAATATTTCTACGGAACTATTATTAATCGCTGCGACTTTTATTTGCTAGACCTCAAGGTTGGAATCTTGCTTAAACCACCCGAGAGGAGTTGATAAGCTTGGATTTTTGGATACACAATCGTGACCCAAAAAAGAATTGGATTTACTGTTCGAAGCTTTGCACTGTGCATACGTTCTCTGTCGACTGGTTTTATGAATGAAGTTTCTAAAAGAAAAGAGAGCGTCTGTCAGAACGATCGCGACTGTTCTCTTCGCGTTACCATCCACTTCGACCTCCAACCTGAATAAGCTGTCACACAGCGACGCAGCTTCCAGCTCTCAATATTTACAGAATCATGCAGAATTTACTTTCCATGAACATCTACACCTACTTCACCCTAAGTAAACCATTCATTACTAATTTGCTTCATTATTAAGGAACAAAGAAAAATAGCTTTAACCAATTTTTAAATTAAAACATATTTGTTACTGAAAATTATAAGTAGAAAGTAATCGACGTGGCCGTGATAATTTTGCAGTTCCTTCTTCCTAATACTATGGTCGAAAAATGCCCCCCGCAAACGACTCAAAAAACAATCCTGTAGCAACCATTCCAGTGAAGCTTCGGCGAAGTTTTACTAACAAATGCTCGGTGATCCTTGCAAATATTTGGAGGTCCTTAAAAGAGATGCCACGAGCAGTTTATGCGGCTGCAACCATTGACAAACACTTTCCCTTGATTTCCCAATTAACGCTCATTCAAGAGTCTTGATATCACTTGGTTTTTCCTGGTTGTCTTATACCTAGCAGAGATTAAGTGTGGTGCCAAAATCAATCAGCAACCGGAAACTTCATGAGACTGAAATTGATGCCCAGGACTTTTACTTCCGTGCTTACTCCTGACCCCGGTTGTAAAGACTTCTACCCCAATGTCGGTTTCCTGGCTACCCGAATGCAGTCTAACAGTCTGCATTACCACCGTTACCATTTCTGCCTTGCAAACTTAATCCAGCAGGAATGATTAGGTCCTTTAAATTTATTATCAAGGAATGCACGAAAACAAGCTGTAGACGAGTGGACAAGACTCCCAACAAATGATATCGAGGAGGAAACAAGCAGTGTTACATGAAACGAAAGTATTTTGTGTTGATAGCGTGCGAAACCGACGGCTTTCTGGGTGATGCAAAAAATAAAACCCTAGCCAAACCGTCGCCCAAATTTGTAAGCATTCTAGCAGACTTTATGAGCCACTCGAAACAGTTGAAAGTATCAACCTCAGGGCAATCGACGGGAGCAGCACCACTTAACGATAAGCCAGCATAGCCTTACGACAGTCAAAGCTTGTCCGAACCCCAATAAAGACATGAGAACGCCTTTGTTCCCCCTGGCAACAATGCAAGGTCTGACAATGACTATTATTACTCCTCTCTCCCACCTACAGACTTTGTATGAGAGATGATGCGGGTGACTGTAACACCAGAAAGAGCGTGTACTTTCATATTGGAATGAAAACTTGAGACTAATCAACCCCTCAATAGGAAGGAGTTATGAGAAAAGGGTAAAGACACCCACGAATAATAACTGTTTCCAAGTTCCTGAAGAAGAAACATCTGATGATAAGTCGCGCGATGGTACATGTACAGAAATTTACTTGAGAGCAAATATTTCTACACAATGGCCAGAGTAAAAGTGGTAAAAATACACAGCCCATTAATTATACATCAAGAGAGCGCTTTTTTTTCTTTTTCGGCTTACTCTCAACATCAGCGGAGGCACCAGCTACGAAATTCTCCTCCTCATTCTCTTCCTCAGTCTTCTTTTTCTTTCGTGGAGGCTCTGCGTCACCATCCACTCCATCGTCGCCGATGACCATCTCTTGCTTCTTTTTCTTCTTCTTCTTCTTTCCAAACTCTTCCTGCAGCTGTTCAACTTCTACTACTTCATGCTGTGCAGACTCTTCTGACTGAACGAGCTCGGACTTCCTCTTCTTTTTCTTTTTCTTCTTCTCTCCTTGCGCCTCGTCCTTGTAAAAATTGATATTCGGTGATGGCGATCCATTTAACGTGGCAATGGCTCGTTTCTTCAGCTTCCCAATTACTTTATTGGCCTTAAAAATTCACATCATCAGCGTTTTCAGGATAGAAAATAATCAATGTAATCAAAATAGCTTACTTCCTTTACAGCCGCTGCCATTGCCTCGGCATTTGTCATAGGCAAAACACCAGTTTCAAAGTACTTTAGTCGATCCTCAACTTGCTTCTTCAAGTGCTGCCCATAAACGTCGCAAAGGATATCACTGAAGCAGTCAATGCGTGTCGCAAGGGCGCATTTCGCAGCTAAGAAACGTGAAATCCTACCCTTGTTCTCCTTTGCTGCGCGACCGATGTAAGTACTGTGAAAAATTAGTCCATATTTGGGGGTACGACCACGAGTTCGCAGCGCCCTGAAAAGAGCCTTCTCTGCACCCAGAATTTGGATGGTGGAAGCTGGAAACTTGGACAGATTTGTTAGAGAACCAGCGTGGGAAATTAGACGAGCAGCAACTTGACTGCCAATGAGTGTGTTGAGGTTTGGCGCAACACCGTTCAACTTATTGACAAGATAGTCGTAGGCTTTAGCGCGACGTTCCATGAAGGTTTGAACGATTTTTGCAAAGGAAGAAAGATTCTCTACATCCTGATCTGTGACATCGAAGCCTATGAGAGAAGCCGATATCCGATGAAAAAGTTACATACCCATTGAAGTTTTAGCAACTTCTAAAATAGCAACTGCCTTTTCATGATCATGGATGACTTCCTCAATTTGATCCACTTTATCCTCACTCAAGTCATCACGGCTGCGGATTATCTCAACTAGCTTGATATAGTTGGCGCTCTCGGGAACAATTTTAGCCAACTCTGGAAAGTGATATGAAAACCACTCTTTGATTCGCATAGAAAAGGTGTTAATATCCTTATCCATCTGATCGAGTAGGCTGATCGTCTGAATAACCATGTTATCATCCCTTAAGGAAAAAAATATTATTTTAACAAATATCAAACCTGTTTACATTGAACTTAATTTTGGCACGTGAATAGCTGTGACCTAGACCAACTTGTGCCTGAGATTCTGCAAAATGTGTCAATTCTGCAATGTAGTTCGGGAAAAACTCGCGAATTCCGCGATAAACATCGACAGCAGCCGATTCGGATGATATTTTGACGGTTTCAGGTAATCCAGTTTCAGTGGCCTTAATAGCATCGGCCAACTTGTGTTCCGAAACGCATAAAAGTACAGGTTTATCTCCACTGAGATTCGATAGAAGAAAATTTTGCAAATCATCATGAACAATACCCTCGGATATTGAATTGCAATTTTCTAGAGCGTTTTCAGCTGATGTGAATGGTGAAAACGCACGCAATTTAAATGTGCCGGAAAACGTGTCGTAGTCAGTGGAAACTTCCGGCAAGCGTTCAATAACCGCAGATAGTTCGTGTAACTTTGTACCCAGAATGGCATAACCAGCTGCGTGTTCAAAAAGGAAAAAAACCCGACTCTAAACGCGGTATTAACGCTGGAATATCGAAACATGTGCCTACCTTCATATTCCACTCTTTAAATAACACAATTTTAAACAACGTTCACGAGTTCAAGTTTGCCCTAATTTACTTTACGAACAAATTTTATTACAATTTTACCACTTTTATCTGTAGAAGAGATTAAGTCAACCTTGTAAGCATAAAGTTCTTTTCCGAGACGGCCGTTTTATAAATGGCAGAGCATTTAACGCACTTGACTATTAGTCCTATTCGATTAGCTCTGTCTTAATGAATTTTTATATTTTTTTTGTAAATTTTACATTTTTCAGAACTAAAGTTGTTTGTGCAATTACACACTACCTTTTGCAAGGCGCACTAGTATCGAAAGCATTTTTCCAGACCCATTTCGCTGTGTGTGCTTACCTTCCTGGAACTAGGGTCTTGTCTAACTAACTCTGGGGGGTGCACTGTTTCCTGTATCACTATTTTTATTTGCTTCTCGCACGACCAGAGGAAAATTTTTTGTGCTGAATGTTATAAGAGATGATGAAGTCAGTGACGTTAATTCAGTTCTTTCAGGACAGGATAATAAATTATTACGGCCCTACTTTCTCTCCCTTAACTACTTAGACCGCGATGGTTCATTGCTGAATGCTGCCTTCTCAGATTCCAAATAGCCGCCATGATCCTTTTGTTTTTGTGTTTTCAGCTTCTTTAAGAGCCATTTTATTCCTTTCGTTTCGTTCACTTGATTAGTCTCTCCTAGATGCTGCAACGAAACCTGTGAAGTATCGCTTTTTTCACCTTCTCTTGTCACTTGATTACTAAGAAAAGTTGTCAGCACTGTTCCATTTAGCATAGCATCATCCGATGGTGGATTCTTCCGCATTTTATTTATTTCCTTCATCTCTGCTTCTATAAACGGCATAAGCAGTTGTCTTCTTTTCTGGGCCTTTTGTTGCGCATTGATAAAAAGGCGAGTCCGATCATCAATTACCTCCTCCACTGCGCTCTTCAACTGATCCAACGTTGGAGTTCTATGCACCCATCGTCGTACAGCCCAGATGGTCAAAACTACCGCTACGAGGAGTCCCAAACTGGCCACCGTTATAATTATTGCTACTAACCGCAGCCGAGCAACCCTTGGAGGTCGAGCTGCAAGTTCCCACAAGCTTGGTGGTCGCGGCGTAACACGGAGAAAGAAGGTGTTTATTAAATACCGACCTGAGAAGCTTACATTCTTCGACGCTTGCACAGTAGGAGAGTCTGGCCTTGGAACAATCAAATGACAGTCCCACTGACCTTGCATCCGTGTTTTTAAGTGTGGTATAAGCCTAATTCTCGCCCTTGGACGGATTGCTAGATCGGTAAACATGGGTTCGCCATTGAGGTACCATTGAATTCTTGCAGCATCATACCAGTATACCTGACCCTTTTCAAAGGCACTCCACTCGCCGATGTTTGAATGAAGGTAAAAGGGCATCTGTGCAGGTGCAGAAAACTGTTGACCTAAAACTATGAGGGAATAGAATGTTGCGACCCATTCTTCGCTTCCTATTTTGATATGACAAGTGTAAAACCCCGTATCATGAGGCTTTAAATCAGCCAGAAGAAGTCTCGTTCCTTCCACTACTGGTGAGGTCCGTTTTAGTCGCGAGATCCACCGCGACTCTTCTTCAACCAATTCTTTAATCGGCAAAATGATTCGTCGTTCCTTTGTAGCCACGTAGTTACTCCCAGTGGCTATAGTTCTACCCCCAAGTTGCCAGAAAATTGCCACATTCCGAGTGGGTAAATTGATTTTTGACAGACTTAAAGCCTTTGCTTCCAGTGTCGCCTTTGCGTACCTGTAGGCCTCTGTGTCACAATCTAGCGAAGCACTATCACCCGCTGTTCTAACCAATACAACATCAGCATGATCCCTGGGCGACTTCCTCTGTACACGAGTAGCTAAATGGTCCATTTGTACCTGTTTTTTAACTCGAGCTTTAAGATTAAAATCGTCTATTTGGTCTTCTTGGCAGCCGTAGGGGCAAGCTTTGACCTCTTGGCTCAACCCAGAGCACTGCAATGCATTGGGACCGAGTTCGGGTGGGGGATTGTTGCAAAGACGTGTACGAAATGCAGTCCCTGGCACGCAGCCGTGTGCATCCGGTTTGGGTTTCTTGTTCGACTCGCTGAGTGCACACTCACTCCATGGACTCCATGAGCTCCAGCCCGGTTGGCGAGGGCACTTGCTGTTAACAATACAAGTCATGCATTCCTCTCCACCACCAACACATTGTGAGGCATCGCGAATGCTACCAAATCCGTCCAGACATTGGCGACTCCTACAGCGTTGACCTTCACCGCAGGTCTTCGAGCAGGCGATGGGCCAGGCAGACCATGCCCCCCAGTTGCAGCCAGATGGTGAAATTCGTGGTAAAGAGCATGAAACGAGGAGGCAGAGGACAAAGGAAAGCATTTTGAAGGCCACAGCAATCGATTCGAATGTGGTGAATTTCACGTGCATGGTTGTAAAATGTTACCTTCAAACTCAGTAGCCTGAGGAATTTACTCACACCTGATCTGAGCCGCCAGTAACTATGCAAGGGGAATAAAAGTCAAGTGAGGAGTGAAGAAGACCCAAACTTACTGCTCATTGCAGCTGTTATCACCTGTGACGTCTCTCCTAAAGCTTTCACATGTTCGTAAGATCCAAAAAAGCTTCAACACAGAACTCACAGGATACAGAAACTCGATGAGCTGGTTCGAATTAGATTCCCTCTATGACAACTTGGACATTCATTGTTAACGTCTCCGCAGTACTACGAAACGAGGAGTTGTTTGGAACCTATGACTAGAGTTACTTAACAATTTGTTTTAAAAGAGAGCATCAAACAGCTTCGAAGAGCTAAAATTTAGTACTCCTCAGGTTCCAGTGCTATTTCAGTTAGCGGTAGTGATGCTTGAAAGAGAGATGGTTAACTCCATGTCTTAAAATCACGACCGCTAAGGGCGCCATACACATCTCCTCCTAGCTAGAGAGTTCAAACCGGCCGAATGAAGGTGTGGGTGTGGGTCTACTTAAGCATAATGACCGATTGATCCCGTCCTTCACCTTCCACTATTCATCGCCAAAGCTACGAATCCCATCACCGTGGTTTGAAGAAATAGGATGGGATTGTAGAGGCATGCGACTCCTTTTAGACATGCCAAATTTCTCGCCGCATGAACATTTTGGTTGGACGATTTCGAGAGTCGACTTGTAGCCATACCGCATTTGGTGAACTTGATGTTAAGCAGCACGGAAGGTATGGCAGTTGGCATTTGGTGGAAGTCCACCAGCAGTGCGTGAGGGTCATTTAGGCATCATCCCTGTACACATCTCCACTCAAGGCCTCCGACAGGCTCGTGAGAAGTCCTTCCTCCACTGTGAATGGCAGTGTTAGGGGAATAATGTTAGCAATGGCTTTAAAACCTCGACCAAGATTGCCACTACATGCCACAAAGAGTCTTTGCTACTCCAGAGCTGTCATTGTTCTGGTAAAGCTCCTGATCGGATACCGTAGAGAGAACAGTTTTGACAAGAATTTCAGAACATCCTTTACCAACTCTTGGGGACACCAAAACTTTTGCTATGACCGTCGCAAACCCTTGACGCAATGATAATTGGGTAAAAAATATTGACTTGGAAATGCCGGTGAATAAGGAAGACACTGACGTTCTTAGTTGATGTAATACTTTGTTCATGTGACCGCATGAGGTTTGGCGGTCACTTTAGGATTTGTCGGGCGCTTGAACTCGCGGGCTGGCCTTCGGGCCACGCTCAGGCTCATTTACTCTGTTCTCTTAGAAATGCATGCATCCAACAGAAGAATGTTGTGTAAAAGGGCAGCTATGGCCATCATGCAAGGCTAAGGATCAAGAGTAGATACATTCTGCGATAAAAGGATTGAAGTTCATTAATCGGAGAATACTTTCCAACTTTAAAGCTATCTTTCACTGTCGAGACAGCCCACCTTTTACTTTCGCGCCTTTTTACGCCTGGAAGTGTTCTGGGACTGCCTAAAATCAACTTTTGTAACCTCACAGAATAAAGGTGAACTAAACCTCAAAATAGCCTGCACTAATTAAGCGAATTTCGTTTAAGAAAGAATATGTATGTTTCACGAAATTCTATGCTGGTAAAGGGAGGGAATATAAATGCACTGTCTTAGAGTTTGTAGGCATTGCGCATCATTAGGTCGAAGTAGGCATTGTTGTCGATTGATGCACTGACACCGGCATAGTAGTTCATAAACTCCGATTTTGTAACCTAAAATTACAATTATTTGTGGAACAAAAGGCATTGTAAATTTGATCAAACGAGCAACTGTCTACTTCATAAACGATAGAATAAGAAAAAAACTCATCCCCAAAATCAAAATGGTGTAACATGGCCTTCAAAAGTGATGAGGATTGTTAAGCAAAAAATGAATTCAGTAATGCCAACCGCACATTTTCAGTTTTATTCATAAAGCGAAAGTTTAGATAAAGATGAAGCTACTGTGGACAATCGAGTATTTTGGCTACCATGGCAACGGCCTCTTAACAATGTGTATGCCATAGTTACGTAAGACCAAGACCCCACGATTTTATGTCATGTATGCTCAAGCAGCAAAATCAATGCCAAAAGTGACACCTTGAATAATTCTAACTAAATTTTCATGCGCAATCAGTGAAGGTTATGCAGAAACAAAGCTTTCGAGACGGATTGACGCAATCTGGACTTTACACGTAGAACCAGTCTTTTAACTTCTGCACATTTTGTAAAGCTTGGCATTGACGTTTGCTCAGCGCTTCAAAGGATAGTGAAAAGAGTAACTTCTGTTCCATTTTGCTCTCCGTTTACAGATTATTGCGGCCTATGTTTTAAAGATGTTTTTTATTTACTTAAAAATCACATGCAGTGATGCTCCACTGATTTCGCCTTATTCCTGCTTAAATGTGTGCATACTATGCTAAAATTTCATGTTCTCAAACAAGGTTACTTTGTAATTGTGAATAATAATCTTAGACAAGCATTCAAAAATGATAAAAGAGCATTCTCACTTTTCCGTCAATTTCACCAGGGGCTTCAAATTTCCTTAGGAATTCCTGAAACACTTGTTCTTCGGTCCATTCACCGTTTTTGTACTTCGGGTGAAACTTGCAATTATAAACACCTCGCAAGTCCTCCGCCTATAAATGGATAGGCATTACTTGTTAAAAGCTCCTAAAACTTTTCAAAGCATACCTGAAATCCGAGAAATCTGTTTCTAGGGCGAAATTCTTCCCATCGGTTAAGTTAATCGCTTTGAGTAAGTTTGTCAAAAGTGCTCGCTTGAGCACAGGAAATGCTTGAGTTTGACGGTTTATCAAGATTGTAAGACACGTTCGCATCTGCATTTCTAAAGTGCTCTACATGTCATTCTGTACCTACATGCACAGCTCGCATATTATTTATTTGTGGTTTATTTAAGAAAAAAATAAAAAACAATGTCTGAGGATAATGTTATCAATCGATCCCAAATATCTATTTAATTAAATTTTTATCATAAAACTCGTGAACCAAGAAAAGAACAAATATAAAGTGCCCTTGAGCCGAAATAATATGGTCACTTTTAGTGGTACTTTGCTAATGCATGCTTATAATACGAACGCAAGGCACATATGATCGAAAAGCAAGGATTTTGACAAAGTAATATCTAAATTTTATTTCTGTTTTCGCCTCTGGTAAGTAAACCACAGATAACTTACGGTGATGTAACCGTCTCTCGACCTGTCCATCTTCATAAAGGCTTGATTAACCAACTCTACTCTGCACTTAGGCATGGGAGGCTATGTAAAGTTGTAGTCACTAGGAATTTTCTACATACACGTAGAGCTTCAAGGAATTCATCAAAGTCTATGTGACCACTTCCATCCTTATCAAGCAACTCAAAAATCTCCTTCACTTCTTCTTTGGTCAAATCTGCACCGAAATCAGCGCATCCTTTTGCGAATTCGCGGATATCAAGCATTTTATTTCCATCATCGTCTATAATTCGAAACTGTCTATAATAAAAAGAATGATATGTTACTATGTGATAGCAAACCGTTGATCAAAATTTTCAAAGTACCAATCATGTTTGTAAAAATTGGACACTTTGTCATAACTACATACCTTCCAAGGCCTAAAATCCCAGAACCTCCTCTAGCGAGGCATTGAAGGCGCAGTTTTTCCAACGGACTCGTGGTTTCTTGTATTTTTCTCCTGGCTTTCAGTTTTAACTGATAGTCACCTCGCGATGTAATTGCCATCGAATGAATGAACCAGCAACAGTAGCCCCAAAAGAGCAATGCGCCTCAACCTCACTCAAGGTTAGAAGTCAGACGTCTATGCATTAGAACAATTGCCTTTTACTATTTATTATAGAGAATTAGTGCCATTGTATGCTTACTTACCCTATTAAAAAGCGATTTCTTAATTTTAAAAAAATTGGCAATTTTTAGTAAAATAACCTTAATTACCTTAAACTATATACGAAAGGAAATTTGACGCACTCCTCCGCTTCCCTCCCCATTTTGGTTATAAACGCGTGAGTGGTCATCCCGTCCCAGTGGAGCGTTTAATTTACTGATCATGTTGAGCCTCTCACGTCTCCGTTACCTAACTGCATACCCCTGCATAACGCTGCATCCAGACAGTTGTGCGCGAACGCCCACAGAGACCCACTCGCGCAACCCAACCCGCACATCCGGTCAAACAGCACCATAACTTTCAGAAGACACTATTTTCCCTTAGTTTTCACATACAGTAAGAGAGAACGCATTAGGAATAGGGAGGAAGCAATATGAAAGACAATGGAAACTGTGTCACGCCAGACAGAGGAAATTCAAGAAGCCATGCCGCCTCTTCAACCAATTTCGAAACCTATTTACAGTTGCATTCCATGGAATGTAGATGAGCATGTCAGCCTAAAACAAAAAAAAACAAAGTTCGTAATCGGACGCATTAGGGAAATGTGATCCACTGCAATATTTCGCTTAAACAAAGTAGTTGAAATGGTTCTTCAGGGGCACACCTCCGTTTGGAAGGGGAGAAGCATCATAGGCGAGGGATAGGGAAGAGGCGGATGGATCATCGGTGCCTGGTTCGCCGCTACCACTGCCACTTCCACTCTCAATATCGTTACAGCGGAAGTACTTAGCGGCTGAGACACAGAAGAACTTCTCCATGAAGACATCAGAGTCAAGAACGGCAATATGTGCGGCGCGACCAATGAAGTGGTTTGCCGAGCTCTGCACCTCATAGTGTACATCATAGCGAACCACTGTGGTGCGCCCACTTTTGATCATGCGCTGAAGGATGTTTGCAACCATCTCCATGTAAATTACACCTACGAACAGCAGAAAAGACCCAAAACGTATTTAAACAATCAGCAGAGTGATCGAAATAAATGCAAGCAACAAACCCATTTCAGATGGATCCTGTAGGGCTGCCCGACAGAGCTCGATGCGACTGGAATGGTGAGGCACATAGTGATCTTGAGGGCTAGCGACAAGGAGGACGTAACGGAACCGGTCGAATCCCTCACCAGCGCTGAGAGCATACATAAAGGTCTCCCGAGGATCAGGATGATCACGCAGACGCAATTGAAGGAGACTGCGAGACTTCTTTAACTTCTGTAGAGCCCACATACCCATGGAGACGAGGCCTGAGGTGCTGTAGAGTGTGCCCAAGTGGGGACCGCAGAAGGAGAGGAAGGTATGCAACATTGGATAGAGATGTGCCAGCCGTGGACTTGACAGTGCGGCGCGGATTAGTACACAGCCTAAGCTGTGCCCGATAAAGCTGGTCAATGCATAATGATGAGAGGTGAATAATGGTACAAAGTAAAACTTCCTTTTCACTGGATGGATAGATGGAATAAAACTAGTTAAGGTAAAAGAGGAGCCGGTTAACGAGCAAAAACGATGAAAGAGAAGACCCAATCATTCTGAAAAAGTGGCTTATCACTGTAGACAGCTAAGCAACCGCCTGGTTAGAAAGGATGGAAAATGGGGAGGTTCTCAAACGTAAAGAAGGGAGTATAGGTGAATGTAAGCGAGAAGAATTCTCGCAGCGACCTGAGTATCCAGATGATCGGTTTTCGTTGGGTTTAAAATCTTTCTTCACACGTCACTTTCATCCGACATTTGATGTAAAAACGAAAAAAAAAAGTTGTAAGTCATTGTAGTGGGCTCTGTAATGCAAATCCTTCCACACAATAGACCTTTTCCTCTCCTGGCTTCGTGTAGAAGTAATCCTCCCGAAGTGACTGCTTAGACTGCAAATTCACTTGTGTCAGTGCGTTGACTTAGTAGGGAATGTGGGAACCCAAAGTCGACTAATAATAAAGTGCCAGATACGGAACATGCCGAAAGTCCAGAAATGCATAAAAGCCATACAGAAGAATTAAAATTAAAAGCAGTACTGAGAGTTTTCAAAGTAGTGGCAACGCAACAAATAGTGAAGAGCTAATAATTAGCATGGCTGAAACAGGTGGATCAAAAATGAATCGGAACATTGAGACAAGTGTGAAATACAACCCTCAGTTAAGAGGGCAGACCATGTTTATTCTGCCCCCATGAATGTACCATTTGGCATGAAAATCTTTCAACAAGCTGAATACTGTATGCCATTTACAGGTAAATGTCATTCCAATCAGCTATTTGATGGGGTTGAATTAGACAAAACAAATTGGAGCAATTCTGGCATTCAGTGAAGGCCTAATTCAAGTCAACTGTTGGCTGTAGAGGATGCCTTGGTCGAGGACAGCCAGTCAGCTATCTATAGAGCCATCAGTAATTTAAAAGAGCAATTGAAACTGGCAGGAACGAAGACAATTGATAAGTTACAAGTCGTTTCATTAGTGACCCATCCACTTTCAGCCATCCGCATATTCACTACTCCTCATTCCGAGTCGATACTTCAACAGTAAATCCACGCGTATTTAAACCCGGAAAAGTCAGTTACGCTTGTAAACTGGCGCGCTAGCTGCGATTCAATGCTGTATTGCATATACTTTACTCGAAAACGCGGTAGGCGCTCATGAGAGGGTATGGGGGTTGACCGTAGACAGTGATGAGGGGAGCAACGCTTGTACGAATGCATTCAACGGCGATCCACCGCACTATTCCACCAACTGTCCATTCACGCCCGACTCCTACACCTCATCCATTCCCACATTCCTCCATCTTCATCCCTCATTGGCAAATCGTAACACTTGGCTCATTCATTCCACCGTCTAACTCATCACCTTCCCATCCATCTCACGTCCATCCACCCCTCCAAGTGCACCCAACCACGTTTACTACAAATGACAAGTGGTCTGTGTAAATATCGATGCAGTGCTGTGCCGTGCTGTGTTGTGCTGCGTTGTGTGGTGTGGTGTGGTGTGGTGTGCTGCGTTGTGTCGTGGTGTGTTGTGCTGTGTGATGTGGTGTGGTGTGGAGTT